GCGGGTGCCGGACCCGACGCCGCTTGCCGGGGCTGAGGACGCTGTCTCTGACCTCCTGGTGCTTTGGGTTTCCTTTCAGATCGATGACATCGCGGACGGCGCCGTGAAACCCCCCCCGAACAAGTACCCCATCTTCTTCTTCGGCACCCACGAGACGTAAGCGCTGCCTCGCTCCCCCCGCCGGGCTCTGCCTCCGCTCCGGCCTCACCTCTGCTTTGTCTCTCTCCAGCGCCTTCTTGGGCCCTAAAGATCTGTTCCCTTACGAAAAATACAAAGACAAATACGGGAAACCAAACAAGAGAAAAGGCTTCAACGAGGGCTTGTGGGAAATCCAGAACAACCCCCACGCCAGTTACAGTGCCCCTGCGGTGAGTGTGGGCTGGGCAGGGCCTGGGGCTGCGGCCCTTCCGTCCCCCCGAGTCGCTCCTCCTGTCTCTGCTTCTCCTCGCTGCTGTGCCGATTGCTTCCAGCTTCCAGCTTGGCTTCCTTGGGGTGGAATTAGCTCCCCTCTGCTTGCCTGCCCTCTCCCTTCCTCAGGGAGTCTGCTCTCCTCATCTTCCTCCATGGAGGGGTTTCCCTCAGGCTTCCAGGAGCTCTGGAAGTTCCCACTTGCTCTGGAGGAAGGCGCTTCTGCCCCGTTGTCACAGTGGAACTGGGGTTGTGCTTTGTGCTGCTTGCCCAAAATCATGGAGATTTTGTTGTCAGAGCAAGAATTTGAGGCTTGCTCGTCCCTGGCTCCTGGATCTGCTTGTGGACTGTTGGGAAGTCCCCTTCTCCATCCATTCCTGAGGTTCCTGAGCCCTCCACCAGGATTTGGAGCGAGCTGGGCCAGGGAACAGCTCTTTGTCAACTTCTTGTAGGAGCATCTCATGACCGTAATTGGGATCCAGTTTCTTCTGTAAAGATCATCACAGGAGGCATCAGCTTTGTAGGCCGTGGGGCTGAAGAGGCAGAGGAAGGTTTGTAGGGTGGGCAGCAAGGTCCAGGTGGTCCCTGGAGGTCAGCAGGTGCAGGGAATGAGCCCCCAGGCCATGCCATGGCCAGGCAGGAGTGAGGATGTGGTTTGAGGGGCAGGGGTTGAGAAATGGTCCACCCAAAACTGGAGGTAGGGTAAGGTGAGGCTGTGGAGGTGCTTGAAAACCTGGAGATTGGTGATGGTGAGGGAGGCAGCACCTGCCATGGCCAGGAATCTGCTGGGAACTCCCATCAGGGACCCAGCAAGGCTGAGGGTTCACCAACACCCACTGTGTCCTGTGGGCAAAAGGAACAGGAGAAGACACTGAAGTTTCCTTGGCTTTGAGACCTGAGTGAAACGAGATGCCAGGAACAGCCAAGGGTGAGGAGAGGCTTTCCAGCAGCTGGAAGAACTCAGCTCTAGGAATGTCAGTGCTGCCACAAGGGTGGCCCAGCCAGGGGACACTGTGGCTCCATCACAGAGGAGCAGCCCAGAAGATGAAGCTGGGGTGTGATGTCCTGTGCGAGGAACCTGGAGAAACAAGGAGACCTTCAAGGAGCAGGACACAGGAGATCCCACCTGGGAAGAGCACCTGGACTCCTTGTGTGGATCTTTCCCATGGGGAAAGTATGTGAAGAGCACAGGAAGAGGCCTGATCCAAGTGGAGAGGCTGAACCCGGCCACCCCGGCTTGTCTGGCGCCGTCAGGGCAGAGGAGGGCTGGGCTGGGCTCTGCTCCCAGCTCCAGGCTGCTCCAGGGGTTTTGGCAGGGCGTGAGGATGGGGGGCAGAGGGCTCTGAGGCAGCAGCATCCCAGCACTGTGTCACTGGTGCTCTCTGTGGGGCTGTGGGAAGGGGGACAGGCAGGGTTGGTGCCGTTATCCGGAGCTGCTCCGGAGGGATCCGTGCTGGGAGGGGAGGCTGCCCTGCGCTGCTCTGCACACCCAGCTCTGCCCTCCTTCACTCCCCACCCTTGGTGCCCCCTCTCTGTCCTCTCCTGGCCCCCCAAATGCCCCAGAGCCCCCCTAACCCTGCTGTCCTTTGCTGCCTTTAGCCCGCGAGCTCCTCGGACAGCGATGTCCCCGAGAACGACCCCATGGCGGGCAGCGACCCCGGGGACGACGAGGACGACGCTGCCATGGCCACGGGGCCCGCAGCCAAGGTGGACAGCGACGAGGACTCGGAGCGAGGCAGCGACCACAGCGGGCTCAAGAGGAAATCCCTGGCCATGAAAGTGAGTCTGGGCTGGGGACGGGAGGGTGGCCCAGCCAGGGGACACCGTGGCTCCATCACGGAGCTTTCCTTGAAGCCAGCTCAGCAGAAGTGATGGAGAAACCAACTGCCTCTGGATTCTCCAGTGGGAAATGGGGCTCAGCGTGGTTTGGGGGTGTCACAGCTGTCTCATGGTGCCTGTGGGATGCTGGGATGGCCTGTCCTGGCTGGGTTTGCAGCCTGGAGGAGGATCCAGAGCTGCAGATCTGAGTGCAGGGCCCGTTGGGAAGAGTTGGAGAAAGCCCTTCCCAGGAAGCATTTGCTTTCCATGGAGGATGGAGAAGGAATGGGCTTCTCTCATCTTGTCCCCTCTCCTTTGCCAGATGCCTGTGACAAAACGGCCTCGGAAATCCTCCAGTGACTTGGATCAGGGCAGCCCCTCTGTCACAGAAGAGGAGAACTCAGAAACATCTTCTGAGTCAGAAAAAAACAGTGACCAGGTGAGAGGATTTTGGGATACACAGGGAGGGTTGTGGCGAGAGCATCCCTGTAGGAGTGGGGCAGAGGCTGAAGGGAACCCGACTGGTTTGATTTCATGGTGACACTCATATTCCTCATATTCCTGTTTTCCTCCAGGATTTCACTCCTGAGAAGAAACCAGTGGCCCGGGCTCCACGCAGGATGCCGGCAGCGGGGAGGAAGAAGAAGGTAAAGGACCCCAAATCTGAGGAAGGCTGGAGAGGAGCCAGGGTCTGCACTGTGGGGAGGGGGGAGCTGGGGGTGGCAGTGCTGTGCCCTGGGCTGGAGCACCTGGAGGGACCTCACTGAGCTCTTGGTGACCTGTGGGGGCTCTGGGTGCTGCTTTGGGGGTATTGCTGGGACTGGGGCAGTGCCACCCCACAGCCACCCTCCATCCCAGCCCTGCTCTGTGCCTGCAGAAAGTGGAGTCTGGCTCTGACTCTGACTCCAAAGTGGACTCGGATCTGGAGATGGGCAATGCCACCGTGGACATGACCAAGTCAGACTCGGACTCGGACTCGGATGTGTCGGTGAAAAAGGCACCGCGGGGCCGCAAGCCAGGTACCCGGGGCTGCTCCTGCTCCTGCCACCACCTCAGCATGGGACTGTGGCATTCCCAAGGCTCTGGGCTTCCATCCCAAATCCTGGGCACATCCTGGAGCCCCTCTGCCTCTGGAGCTCGGGGCTGTTTTAACAGAGGGACGTGCAGGGCTCCTGAACACGTCCCTGTTGTCTTGCAGCTGAGAAACCCCCTCCCAAGCCCCGGGGCAGGAAACCGAAGCCAGAGCGTGTCCCCAGCAGCTCCAGCAGTGACAGGTGAGCTCAGCTGGGACAGTGCCACCCTCGGGCTGGGCTGGGGGTCACGCAGGGGTCCCAGCCTGCCCTGTCCCGGCAGTGACAGCGACAGTGACGTGGATCGCATCAGCGAGTGGAAGAGGCGCGACGAGGAGCGGCGGCGGGAGCTGGAGGAGAAGAGGAAGAGGGAGCAGGAGGAGGAGATCCGGCGGCTCCGGGAGCAGGAGAAGGAGGAGAAGGAGAAGAGGAAGGAGAAGGCAGAGAAGGGAGAGGAGGTGCACTCGGACTCGGACAGCAGCGCCGAGGATGAAGCGGCCAAAAAGGGCCGGAGGGGCCGGGCCAAGGCTCCGTCCTCCTCGGACTCTGAGCTGGAGCAGGAGAAGGAGGTGAGTGCGGAGCTGTGGGGCCTGGGGTGGATGGACAGCCTGTCACCTCCCTGTCAGGCCATCAGGGACCTGCAGGAGTGGTCCTGGGTTAGCCTGCAGCTGCCCACGTGGTATTGGGAAGGGTTGTATCCATCCTGGGAGTGGGAGCTCTTCCCCTGGCCCAGGATGCCTCATCCAGCTGTGGGTCTCACATCTGGCACAGGGTGCCCAGAGCAGCTGTGGCTGCTCCATCCCTGGAAGTGTCCAGGACTGGGTTGGACAGGGCTTGGAGCACCCTGGGACAGTGGAAGGTGTCCCTGTGTCCCTGCCCATGACAGGGGTGGGACGGGGTGAGCTTTGTGTTCCCTCCCAACCCAAACCATTCTGTGATCTCCAAAATGCTCTTCCACCACAGTCAGGGGCTTTGCTGCACTGTTCCCCTGGAGCCTTTGGGAGCATGTAGGGTGACTGTGTGCCATGGGGTGATGCTGTGCCATGGGGTGATGCTGTGCCATGGGGTGATGCTGTGCCCTGGCAATGGGGTGACTGTGGGGTGACCATGGGTGCCATTGTGGTGTGGCCGTGGCTCTGTCTGTGCTGCAGCAGGGAGGGCTCTGCTGCTCTCCCTGCATTGTTCTCTCCTCCAAGGTAAAGAAGCCGGTGAAGAAACAGCCCTCGGAGTTGTCAAGGAAACCAAACCAGAAGGAGAAGAGGGGCCGAGCAGAGGAGAAGCCACGGAACAAGTCAGCATTTCCACACCTCCCTCCCTCCCTCCCTCCCTGCCCTTTCCTCCTGGGAATGGAGCTGGTCCTGCACAGCTCCAGCCCTGGCACCCCGGGGTGGGCATGGGGCTCCTGGGGCTGCAGCACCTGCAGAGGGGCCGGGCCTGTTCCTGCCCTCCTCCTGAGCTGAAGGGGCTGCAGGAGCTCTTGGGGGTTACCAGGATGACATTTCTGGTGTTTTCTTTCTCGTGGGGCTTTTCCTGTCTGCGTTCCTGGGAAGCTGAGGCACAGGGGAGCTGTGACCAGGGTGGAGGGATCTTGGATGCTCCAGCCAGTGCCATCCCCCTTGTTAGCCCAGTGCTGAGCAGAGGGATCACCACAGCCATGTTCCCTTTTTCCTTCCCTTCACACAGACCTCTGAAAGTGGAACGAGGCCGGAAGAAGTCCGACCCGATCCCTGAAAGGAGGGTGGAGAAGAAAAAGGGTGAGAAACCCACTGCTTCCCATCACAGAGGGGAGGAGAGGGAGGAGAGGGCTTCAGGGTTGGTTCCCCCATCCCTGGGACAGGGAGGGATCAGTGAAGTTGTGCCAGGTTTTTCCCAGCACTGCTTTGATCACTTCCCTGCATCCCCTCCCTGTCTTGGCACATCCTCTCCAGAGACATTCCTGGGGCTGGGCTCAGCTTTGGAAGTGCAGGAGGACACAAAGCTCTGCCTAGGAGTGATTCCAGGCCCCAGAGCAGACCCTGGGCTCTGCTGGTGCCCTGACATCTCAGGCTGTGTCTCTCTCTCTGCTCCAGAGCCCACAGTGGAGGAGAAACTGCAGAAACTGCACAGCGAGATCAAGTTTGCGCTGAAGGTGGATAACCCGGTGAGTGCCTGGCCTGGGACATCCCTGCTCATGCTTGCCCTGCTGTGATACCCAGGAATGCTCCTCCTCCTCCCTTTGGGGGTGCTGGGAGGCCCCAGGTGCCCCCAGGGCAGCTCCTGAGCCCGCTGCCCCCACTGCAGGACATCAAGCGGTGTCTGAACGCGCTCGAGGAGCTGGGCACGCTGCAGGTCACTTCCCACATCCTCCAGAAGCACACGGATGTGGTGGCTACACTCAAGAAGGTAGAGCAGAGGGCTGAGGCCTCCCTGGGGCGAGCAGGGAGCCTGCCTGGCCCAGCTTTAAGGGGGAACCCTCCTCCTCCTCCTCCTCCTCCTCCCGGGGCAGATCCGGCGCTACAAAGCCAACAAGGACGTGATGGAAAAGGCAGCTGAAGTCTACACCCGGTTGAAGTCGCGTGTGCTGGGACCAAAGATGGAATCCTTGCAGAAAGCCAACAAAGCTGGGCCTGAGAAGGACAAGGGGGAGGCAGAGAAGGGTCAGGAGAAGCTGTCGGGAGCAGAGACACGGAATGAGAAGGGGGAGGAGGAGACAAATGCTGGTAACGTTCCTGGGCATCCCTGAACATCCCTGCCCTGTCTGGGCAGGTCACAGTCCCCTCCTTGGGCATGCCCTGTCCTGCTGGGGACACAGGACATGGGGAGGTGGCTCTTGGCCTCGTGGTGGAGGGATCAGCACCTCCAGGCCCTGCTTTGCTGGAGTGCCAGGAGAGGGAAAGGGCTGGATGGGGAATGCACTGAGAGCAGAGGGCAAACCTCAAACTCCACACCCGGGCTCTGGGGGCCTCCCCTGCTGCTTTTTGGCTCAAGGCAGCTCTTCCCTGCCAGCCTGAGCTCTGGTCCAGGCATGGAGGAATGTGGAGATGTCCTTGGACCCTGGCTCAGGCTCTTGCACAGGGAGTGGTGACTGGGATCTTCCACCCTCAGAGCCAGGTCTCTGTCTGGGGCCATCCTGGTGATGCTGCAAGAGCCTTCCCAGAGGAACTGACAGAGAAAATCCGCCCTGATGGTGTCTCTGGGTTGGGGGATGGAGGTTTTGGGGCCCTTTTTGCAGCTGTGGGGGTCAGGCCAGTACTGGGGTCCACCCATGTCTGTGGCCATGGATCCTCAGTCCACGAGGGTCGGGATGGATGAGGGGGTCCGAGAGCCTGAGCCTCTCTCTCTTCCCTTCAGACCTGTCAGGTCCTGTGAATGGTGAATCCCAAAAGTCAGAGGGCACAGAGGAGAAGGACAAGAGCCAAGGGCCAGGAGCTGTGGAGCTGGAGGCACCCACAGAGGAGCCCCACAACAAGTGAGTGTGGGGAGCTGGGGGCTGCAGGGATCGTTTGGGGACATCCTGTGGGTTGTGAAAGGGTTCTCCCAGCCTGGCCAGGAGCTGGGATGTGGGAGAGGGGCCAGGGGAGGCAGAGGGGCGTGGGACTGAGCTCTCCCTGCCCCTGCTCTCCCCCAGCAGTGTCCAGGACTATCCCAAGGCCGGGCCGGAGCGAGCTCGCGGGGAGTCGGAGGCTGCGGATGAGGAGGAGGAGGAGGAGAGCTGAGGAAGCAGCTCCCACGTGGAGGAGGAGGAGGAGGAGGAGAGGCTGTGAAGGGAGAGCAGCCTCTGCCTCATCTCCTGCCTGAGTCACTTCACTCTGTCCCACCGTAGCCGATGTCCTTGGTCTTGTCCCGTGTCCCGTCCCTGCGGAGGCAGCACCCGCGGTGGGGCTGTGCTGGTGTCTGTATTTGTCCCCCACTCCCCCCCTTGTTTTTAATTTTTGGTTTT